ATATAAAATGCAAGGTGGATTCTGCCGAGAAACATTGACTGACACGTCACAGTGAACCAACTTTCCTGGCAGCTGATTTAGCAGATGATTCAAAATAATCATTCGACTTGATGTCACTGTCTGCTTCTGTTATACTTAAGGAGCAGATGTTATTTTTAGCCGCCTTTCATACCATTAATGAGAAGGAAAGAGAGGATACTGAGAACTGAATTTGACATCCTCTGATTTTTATATTCATTTTCATATACCGTGTGCATTTACTCTTGCAACTATGCAATTTAAGAGGCATTACCTTTTGATGCACCTTCGTACCACGATTGAGAATGAAAGAGACTATATTCAGGACTCAATCTGGAATCATGAGAAGCTCGTGTACCACGATTGAGAATGAAAGAGACTATATTCAGGACTAAATCTGGAATCATGAGAAGCACGTGTACCACGATTGAGAATGAAAGAGACTATATTCAGGACTAAATCTGGAATCATGAGAAGCACGTGTAGCACGATTGAGAATGAAAGAGACTATATTCAGGACTAAATCTGGAATCATGAGAAGCTCGTGTACCACGATTGAGAATGAAAGAGACTATATTCAGGGCTAAATCTGGAATCATGAGAAGCACGTGTACCACGATTGAAAAGGAAAGAGACTATATTCAGGGCCAAATCTGGAATCATGAGAAGCACGTGTACCACGATTGCGAATGAAAGAGACTATATTCAGGACTAAATCTGGAATCATGAGAAGCACGTGTACCACGATTGAGAATGAAAGAGACTATATTCAGAGCTAAATCTGGAATCATGAGAAGCTCGTGTACCACGATTGAGAATGAAAGAGACTATATTCAGGACTCAATCTGGAATCATGAGAAGCACGTGTACCACGATTGAGAATGAAAGAGACTATACTCAGGACTCAATCTGGAATCATGAGAAGCACGTGTACCACGATTGAGAATGAAAGAGACTATATTCAGGACTCAATCTGGAATCATGAGAAGCTTGTGTACCACGATTGAGAATGAAAGAAACTATATTCAGGACATATGACATTACAGACACTTCTGTGGATCTTTCAAGAATCTCGAGATATAACAGGAGAACCAGACCAGATGTGACTGCAATATAAAATGCAAGGTGGATTCTGCCGAGAAACATTGACTGACACGTCACAGTGAACCAACTTTCCTGGCAGCTGATTTAGCAGATGATTCAAAATAATCATTCGACTTGATGTCATTGTCTGCTTCTGTTATACTTAAGGAGCAGATGTTATTTTTAGCCGCCTTTCATACCATTACTGAGAAGGAAAGAGACGATACTGAGAACTGAATTTGACATCCTCTGATTTTTATATTCATTTTCATATACCGTGTGCATTTACTCTTGCAACTATGCAATTTAAGAGGCATTACCTTTTGATGCACCTTCGTACCACGATTGAGAATGAAAGAGACTATATTCAGGACTCAATCTGGAATCATGAGAAGCTCAAAAACCACGATTGAGAATGAAAGAGACTATATTCAGGACTAAATCTGGAATCATGAGAAGCACGTGTACCACGATTGAGAATGAAAGAGACTATATTCAGGACTAAATCTGGAATCATGAGAAGCTCGTGTACCACGATTGAGAATGAAATAGACTATATTCAGGGCTAAATCTGGAATCATGAAAAGCACGTGTACCACGATTGAAAAGGAAAGAGACTATATTCAGGACTCAATCTGGAATCATGAGAAGCACGTGTACCACGATTGAGAATGAAAGAGACTATATTCAGGACTAAATCTGGAATCATGAGAAGCTCGTGTACCACGATTGAGAATGAAAGAGACTATATTCAGGGCTAAATCTGGAATCATGAGAAGCACGTACCACGATTGAAAAGGAAAGAGACTATATTCAGGGCCAAATCTGGAATCATGAGAAGCACGTGTACCACGATTGCGAATGAAAGAGACTATATTCAGGACTAAATCTGGAATCATGAGAAGCACGTGTACCACGATTGAGAATGAAAGAGACTATATTCAGGGCTAAATCTGGAATCATGAGAAGCTCGTGTACCACGATTGAGAATGAAAGAGACTATATTCAGGGCTAAATCTGGAATCATGAGAAGCTCGTGTACCACGATTGAGAATGAAATAGACTATATTCAGGACTCAATCTGGAATCATGAGAAGCACGTGTACCACGATTGAGAATGAAAGAGACTATACTCAGGACTCAATCTGGAATCATGAGAAGCACGTGTACCACGATTGAGAATGAAAGAGACTATATTCAGGACTCAATCTGGAATCATGAGAAGCTCGTGTACCACGATTGAGAATGAAAGAAACTATATTCAGGACATATGACATTACAGACACTTCTGTGGATCTTTCAAGAATCTCGAGATATAACAGGAGAACCAGACCAGATGTGACTGCAATATAAAATGCAAGGTGGATTCTGCCGAGAAACATTGACTGACACGTCACAGTGAACCAACTTTCCTGGCAGCTGATTTAGCAGATGATTCAAAAATAATCATTCGACTTGATGTCATTGTCTGCTTCTGTTATACTTAAGGAGCAGATGTTATTTTTAGCCGCCTTTCATACCATTACTGAGAAGGAAAGAAACGATACTGAGAACTGAATTTGACATCCTCTGATTTTTATATTCATTTTCATATACCGTGTGCATTTACTCTTGCAACTATGCAATTTAAGAGGCATTACCTTTTGATCCACCTTCGTACCACGATTGAGAATGAAAGAGACTATATTCAGGACTAAATCTGGAATCATGAGAAGCTCGTGTACCACGATTGAGAATGAAAGAGACTATATTCAGGACTAAATCTGGAATCATGAGAAGCACGTGTACCACGATTGGGAATGAAAGAGACTATATTCAGGACTCAATCTGGAATCATGAGAAGCACGTGTACCACTATTGAGAATGAAAGAGACTATATTCAGGGCTCAATCTGGAATCATGAGAAGCACGTGTACCACTATTGAGAATGAAAGAGACTATATTCAGGGCTCAATCTGGAATCATGAGAAGCACGTGTACCACGATTGAGAATGAAAGAGACTATATTCAGGACTAAATCTGGAATCATGAGAAGCTCGTGTACCACGATTGAGAATGAAAGAGACTATATTCAGGGCTCAATCTGGAATCATGAGAAGCACGTGTACCACTATTGAGAATGAAAAGACTATATTCAGGGCTCAATCTGGAATCATGAGAAGCACGTGTACCACGATTGAGAATGAAAGAGACTATATTCAGGACTCAATCTGGAATCATGAGAAGCTCGTGTACCACGATTGAGAATGAAAGAAACTATATTCAGGACTCAATCTGGAATCATAAGCTTTTTTTTTTTTATATGGTCTTCTGCAATTAAATCTGTTGTAATTAAATAAGAACATGCATTAATTTTAGACCGACTCTTGAAACACGTTTGAGAAAGACAGATGATTAATTTAGGACAAGATTTATACTCCTGAAGGTATTGTGTCCATGCTCTATATGCTTCTAATATATGGTTTGTTGTAATTAAAGAACGTTTCGTATCTTCTCAGACAGACCTCTTTTATAATGATTTAATAAGCAATAACGGAAAGGATATATAAAAACAATATCTGATTGTCTTCATTGACGCCCAATATGGCGAGAATCTGACTCACAGGATTCAGAAAATGAACCTAATGTTCAGCGAAACTTCTTGGATATGAGATAAGAATGACACAAGTTGAAAAAGCTGCGGGACATTTTGTTAAATGGCGGATAAAAATATGTTAGATCATGTTACAACGCGTTTTAAATTCATAATGAAATGGAAATATTTGTAAATTAATGAAGATTATTAAATTATGCACCTCGTCAGAGTTCATCATATTGAATAAACAATGAATGTTAATTTACATCATGTGCACTGTGATACATCTTTGCAGAAATAAATGACGATTTCGAAGTAAAGTTCAATCCTTCATATGTGTAATGTTCACAATGTGCGTGGGTGCTTATATACAGAGCAACTTTATCCACATTATTTTCTCATCTTTGTCGCCATATTTATCACAACGTTTCGACCGTTGTACGCTCCGGCCTTCTTCAGGTGGTTGGAATTTCGAACTGAACCCTTTATTTCCCCTCACTGGGGTAACTGTTCTAGTTCCACGTGCCATGTTTGATGGTTGTCAGTCCTGTTAATTCCCCACTGCCTTAATCGGAATGCTGCGATCGCTTGTCTGTATCCCCTTTTGTGCGATAACACGTTCTTAGTTTGTGAAACCTTTGCCTGATTACTGTTGCATTGCCTTATTACTGTCGATTTGCCTTATTGCAGTTGCTTTGCCTCATTACTGTTGCTTTGCCTTATTGCTGTTGTTTTGCCTTTTTACTGTTGCTTTGCCTTATTGTTGTTTTGCCTTATTACTGTTGCTTTGCCTTATTGCTGTTGTTTTGCCGAATTACTGTTGCTTTGCCTTATTACTGTTCCTTTGCCTTATTGCAGTTGCTTTGACTTATTACTGTTGCTTTGCCTTATTCCTGTTCTTTTGCCGTTTTACTGTTGCTTTGCCTTATTACTTTTGCTTTGCCTTATTGCAGTTGCTTTGCCATATTGCTGTTGTTTTGCCTTACGTATATTGTTTGTTCAATATTATTGCTTTTCTCCCTTCTTCTTTCTTTCTTTCTCTTGTTATTGTTCATTGCAAACTTTGTCAGAAGTTTTGTTTGTTCGTCATTTTTCCAATTACATTTAACCATGGTCAATTAATCTACAGTTTTTGGCCTCATCATCTAGTAAACAATATCTAGGAACTTAAAACAAGTTTGATCAAAATATGTTATCCAAAATATAAATTTACCAACGTGTTTCGTAGACGCGGTTCGATCAGACCCAGATTTACCCTAGAAGAAATAAGAAATCAGGGAAACGCTTCTTTATTTTTATTTTTTATTTTATTTATTTATTTTGCTTATGGCCACATCAGGTTGAAACCCCGGTTCCCGTACGATCACCGAAGTTAAGCAGCGCTTAGCGTGGTCAGTACTTAGACGGTTACCCGCTTGGGAATATCTGGTGCAGTATGCTTGGATGTGCGGGTGGTTTAGGGATAGTGGCTCAAAATTGTTAATCGGAGTGCCTAGTTCGAATTCAACTCTTGAGAATGGTATAAATCCACATATACTTCCCCAGCTATGGGTTAATTAGTAAGACATGTATCACTAAATCATTATTTTCTCTAGAATAAAAAAATAAAATTGCGTACAAAATATTTAGCTTTCAGCATAAAAATGACTCATTGCCGCTAAACAAAAACAACGAACCAACCAACCCAGTTATGAGTTAATTAGTAATAGTTACATCTTCAAAAACATTCAGTCTAAAAAATTCCTGGCTTTAAATAAACCTGACAAAGGTTGATAACCTGTAAAAAAAAGACGAATCAGTTAATGTAATCGTTTTTGTTTGTGTGCGTCTTTAAATGAAATGTTCCTTTAGTATTATGCTATAATAGTTATCCACAACTTCTATTTCTTTTATTATGTGTGAAATTTTTTAAAAGTGGTGCAGTTACCTCTGATTTTCCCAACGGTTTTGAATTTAGTGTTGTTCTTCTGGCCATGTTACCACACAAGGTACGGGAGCCCAGTCTACCTTGCTATTTCACCTAAATATAGAGAATGATACTTTCGCACAAAATGAAAAAAAAGGGCATTTTTGCGAAAGTGAAAGAGACTAGACAACGATTTGAACACGGATCACAGACTCCATTTTTCAAAACAATTACATTATATATATAAAACTATTCAATTATTATTACCGTTTCATTTAAAAACAAAATTATTTCAACAATTACATAGACGGAAATTCCTTATATTTGTTATAAAATCTGAGTTTCTCAGCGTCTCCATCGTTCTCTCTCCACCTCTCTCTCCATATATATATATATATATATATATATATATATATATATATATATATATATATATATATATATATATATTACATGAATCATCCATACAACAAACAGATAAAGAAGTTAATGATATAAATGTATGAATAATTCATGTGTAATGTAAATTGAACTGCACCACATACTTGATATATATATATATATATATATATATATATATATATATATATATATATAATAACAACAACAATAATAATAATAATAATAATAATAGCTGGCTATCCGTATTCGGTGATACCAGTCTACTAGTGCGGCTAGCTAATCCCTATTGCAGACGCTCGCTCAAGCATATTTGTTTGTTCAACACCCACAGAGTCAATCTGTGGGTTATAATTAAACTATGCTCAGCAGACCTTAGTTACATTTTCTGGGAGAGAAGGTGTTATCTAAAATAATCAACAATCTGAAAACACCAGCACACTCAAACCCTCTGTCACGATGACTTGTGACTTTGTGCTAGCACAGCTATCGACGACCCTAAATGTTCCGTCTACCTAATTTTACGCACAAGGCTTGGGTCAACCCGTGGTATGGTTTCCAAAGTGCTACACGCTGGGATCACCCCCTCCCTCGAAACCGATAACATCAGCAAGCCTCGTTCCTGACAAATCAACCATGGTGAGATTCGAACCCCGGGTCTCATGATCAGAATGCGAACGTTCTAACCATTAAAATGATGAAATCGAAGACTTTAGAAACCCATGGTAATATTTCATTTCGCAAGACCGATTAATCGATCTGGTCTCATCAGACCAAACGGTTTCATAAATAAATGGAAATAAAATATTAACATGTGTTTCTAAAGTCTCCGCTTTCATTGTTTTCATTGGCTCTGTTCTTACATTGAGCTCTCTTTTTTGATTTATACCCTCTTTGGAATTATCCATATGAATTACCAAATAATATTATATATATATATATATATGAACATTGAAGTTAACACTTAGAGGCGACAGGCTGTTTCATGCTGGACGCAATGGATTGCGTCTAGCATGAAACAGCTTCTCGCCTCTAAGTGTTGATTCAATCTTCACTTTTATATTTACACATGCTCTATCTCTGACATTGAGAATATTATCCCATAAATATAGCACACCTTAAAAGTATATTTCTTATATATATATATATATATATATATATATATATATATATATATATATATGTGTGTGTGTGTGTGTGTGTGTGAAAAAATATATAGAAAATAGGAAAGAACTTTTTTTTAAGCATTACGCCCTGAGCAAGGCGTGAAGCCACTAGGATGCAGTGGGTTGCAGAAGATTTGGAGCGAGAGCAGATAGGAGTGATAGAAGAAGGGATGAGGAGAAGGATAGTGGGTAGATCAAGGTAACTGGAGATGTCGATTGACATTACATTTGAATCGTTGGAGATTATAGCTTTCAGGGAAACAGTAATTGGGAAGGGTGTTCCACAGGCGAGAGGTGCGAGGTATGAAGCTATTGGAGTAGAAGAGACGGCAACATTTAAAAGTTTCTACAGTGTAAGGGTGGGAACGGGATGCCAGCCTCGTTAGGTAAATAATCCAAAGTTCTTTAATATTTTTGTTATTATTTTTTAAAAAAATAGTGCTCGATACAAAAGTAGAGCATAAATATAATTATTTATTTAAAAATATAATTATTTATTTAAAAATATGATTCCAACACGCTACATAAGGGAATCATATGCGTGTTGGAATCATATTTTAAATAAATAAATATATATATATATATATATATATATATATATATATATATATATATATATATATATATATATATAGATAATGTACTGGTTATATTTTTAATATAACGACTTATAAGCCTGCTTTAGTGTGACCGGACCATGGAACTTGATGCAGCGAGTCTAGCATAATAACCATGTAGCTATTCCCGCAACAAATGATTCAGATAAACTTCTAATCTATATTCGCAGAATAACATCGCTTCAAAATCCTTGTTAATTCCTTTCGTTCGATTTGCTTCGCATCGCGACATGCTGAAAAGAAATAGCGGACCTATTTTAATAACTCGATCATCAAGATACGCTCAGAGATCAATAATCAATAACTATTCAATACCGGAAGCTGTGAGTTGTGCAAAGGCTTTTATATGGAGTTAATAAAGTAATTACTTTCATCGAACCGCAAGACACGTGGATGAATAGATGGATCGATTAATCGATCGATATCTACAGAGATACGGGTGGATATACGGAGACACATCGCTAGGTAGCAAGACGAATAGATATGAAGTGACTGACTGAGTTCTAGGAAATAGGTATACAGGAAAAAAATTGACAGAGATGGAAATGCATTGGCAGATTAAAAAAGAAAGAGTGTCAGAATTGAAAGGACTGGGTTTTTTTTCTAGTCCATATATTGATAGATATGGCTTACACTCCTTGAAAACGTGAGAGAGATGAGTTATGAGATTTAGCAGGGAATCGACAGGCACATAGTCAGATGCTTAGATTGAAAACGAGAACGCGGAGAGTAATATGAACAATTTATAGAAAGATAAACAAAATGAAACAAGTCGTTAAAAGAGATGGATAAATAAATAAATAAATCTATAAACACACAGGTATATATATATATATATATATATATATATATATATATATATATATATATATACACACACACAAAAATATATATAAATATCTGTCTCATCCTTTTCCTGTCTATTTATCTATCTCAATTTACTCATATCTATTTATCTAGCTATTTTACTAGATAGATAGATAGATAGATAGATAGATAGATAAATAGATAAATAGATAGATAGATATGAATAGATAGAGATGAATAGACTAAGATAGATAGAGTGAGAGAGATCTTAAAGGTTTTAGAGAGAAAAAAATAGGAATAGACGTAGATAGATAGATAGATAGATAGATTATGAATAGACTTAGATAGATAGATAGATAGATAGATAGATAGATAGATAGATATAAACGACTGAGACAGCTATGAATACTGAAATATTTAGATAGATAGATAGATAGATAGATAGATAGATAGAGAGATAGATAGATAGATAGATAGATAGATAGATAGAAAGAAACGACTGAGATCGCTATGAATACTGAAATATTTAGATAGATACATATGAATAAAGTGAGATAAATAGCTATGAATAAATAGCAATAGATAGATAGATAGATAGATAGATAGATAGATAGATAGATATGAATAAACTGTGATAGGTAGCTACGAATAAACTGAAATAGATAGATAGATAGGAAGAAAGAAACGACTGAGATAGATAGCTATGAATACTGAAATATTTAGATAGATAGATACATATGGATAAACTGAGATAGATAGCTATGAATAAACTTAAATAGATAGATAGATAGATAGATACATAGATAGATAGATAGATAGATAGATAGATAGATAGATAGATAGATAGATCAGAACATGCTCGGCCAGCCAGCCAACCTATATAGATTGTAAATTCAAACATTATATCATTTTCATCGTCCTGATTTCCTCTCATCACCACCAAGTCTGCATGCAAATGGCCTAATTAGGACCAAACAATAAACATTACCTCTTTCCGCTTTCTTTTTGCGTTATCAATTGAACACTTTTTTCCCTAATTTATATCCATTTTTTCTGATCCGCTTCTAGTTGCTGACCGATAATATTATCGCTCATTTTGAAACTTAACAAAATTATCAGCTTAACATGAATCGGTATAAATATAAAAAAAAATATTTATGGGTCATTTATGATTACGGCTAAAAAGTTTATATATTGAGATGGAAATTTCTTTACTATTGTTCAGCCAATACAATGCCCAAGCGCCAGTCAAGGTAGAGGCTTATTAAATGAGGTGTTTGTATGGATGAAAGAGAAGATAAGAAGTTCAGATTACGGGCACATGTTTCAGAGATAACGATAGACCCCAAAACTTGAAGAGGTTGAGAATATATCGAACGCGGAAGCATCATCTCTGGAGTCTGTTCGACAAAGTGGCACTTCTTGGAAATACAAAGGGAATGGAGACGATTTATGCCAGTGTATGTGGTATGATCATTTTTAGCTATAAATGCCCAAATTGTTTGGACTAATGAATTCGTCTGGTCAAAATATTTTCCATGGA